CTGACAATCCCTACCAACACATTTATTGCCAATAGCCAAGCCAACATCAAATCGTACCATATCTCTCAATCAGTCCTAGTGACTATTTTTTGGGCTTAGTTGGTCTCTTTTTTTCAAACGAGTCGAATTTTCTGGGTTCTGCTATTGCCGCCAGAAGGGCATTAATCTCAGCCATTATCACAACTGTTGCTCTGGGAAACTGGATAGATTCTTGTTCTTGAAGCTAGTATTTTGTATTCAATGTCCTAATGATTTCGCAGTCTGTGTTTTTCTTATGGATTAGTGAATGCGCTGCGATTCACAGCTATATGTAGTGTAGTGGCTTAAACGTCTACTTGGTTTGGATAGTTAGTAGCATTGTAGCAAGGTTTAGATCGTAAGGAATGGCTATTCAAAAACAAGAAAAAATTCGTTCCGTTGTACATTGCAATAAAACACAAAAGAGGTAGCATAGTGGTGCCAACAACTGGCTGATTGCTTTACCATTCCCAGGCGGTTGAAAACGGTCGGATTTTTTTGTTGTGTGCAACTAAAAGTCAAAGGTAGCAGCAGTAGACCGGTAAACGTGAAATGAATGGAATTCTTTGTAATGAAAAACGCTAGGCAGTGACCTCTTCTATGGGCAATGACAATTTTCAGTTTTCGAATTACTTATGAAGTCAATGTTGTGGAATAGACGGTCATAGGAGAGCGAACAGGGCTTAAGTTCACAGTTCAGGTAATTTTTTAAGCATTTCACTTTTTTCAGTTCTGTCAGCTTTATATGTTGATGACGATTACGCTAATTGTCGTTGAAAGGGCTACTCAATTCCTGCCGTATTTTCCGATAAAAATGCTTCAGCGAATTGGTGGATGGGCATTGACAAAGAGACAAGTTCTAGGTGAGTGGCCCTTGAGGTGGACCGAAGGTCAATATTTTTATGAAAAAAAGGGCAATACACTTCAGAACTCTTGTATGCTATGCAGAACTAACCGACGAGAGGTAGAATAAAGTCTACCTGGGTTTCATTTTTTTNTTTTTTTTCGCCATATCTTCTACGGCTAGATGTGATTAACTCTTTTTCCAATTGTGCAACTACAGTCACAGTCATAGCACAACATGTGACGAATGATTACCGCTGATTTCCATTTGTTCTCGTACCGACCAGCGAAGGTCCTAAAATGTGGGCGAACAGCGCTCTCAAGACATATTTTTTTCCCTATTTTCAGAATTTGTGATGAGGGAATCGCGAAACCGTGTGCAAAACGATTGGCGAGGGATAGATATCGCGCTCCAGAAAGCAGTAGTTCTCAGAGAATCGAGTTTGCTATAATGCCGGTAAAGTAGAATCACATAAAAAGCCAGTAGGGGTAATTGACCCTTTCTTTGAAGAGCTCTTTCAAAAAAGGGGTGTGGAGCTGCGAGCTTTCAAGTTCCAACGTGAGTTCCAGGTTGTCACTATGACTTCAGTGAGAAATTAGTTTGTCTGACGTTAATTGGAAGGAAACGCATTCGTTTCTATGGACAATCACTGCAATGACGAGGAATCGTTCCGTTTATCGCTTTGCAGAAGAATTACTCGAATTCGGCCACGCTTGAATGGCGCAATGAATTCTCATGGGTGTCGCATTGTATATACATACAGCGTCGGGTCCTGACAGTGAGCGCCGCTTGATTCTGCAGGCTATTCAAAAGAAAATTTGCATGTGATAGAGAGAGATGTCAGAGAAGTATAATATTAGATTGATGCGCAAGTTTTTCCTCCTTGTTTGATCTTTCTGTATTCCGATTGCATGAATGTTGGTAATTCGTCATCACGGTGCGTGACATGTGCATGTTACTTTTTCATCACACTAGCTATCACTCATCCACCCTGCATATGCAGACGGCAATGTCGCACAACTACCACTATGGTCGCACTCCCAGAATGTACCTGCGCCACAGCCTGCTTTTACTTCACAATTTCGGTTGGAATGCAAAGGAAGCCCATACAAGGCTGATAAAAACATACGGCGATGGCGTCATTTATTACCGCACATGCAAGACTTGGTTTGCTGAATTCAAGAAAGGAGATTTTTCACACCAAGATGGTCCTAGGTCGGGTCGGCCGATGAAGTTGGTTTTGGAAGTACTACGTTCCACTATGAAGGAGGGAGGACTCGTACCTCTCCACCAGGGATATGGCGACCATGCTCGGCTATAATCAATCGACCATTATACGTTAATTGAAGAGCTCGGCAAGATAGCAAAGCTTGGTCGATGGGTCCACATAAACTGTCCGCTTATGACCTCACGAGGAGGGTGGTCACCTGCACTTCTCTCCTCACTTTTCAAAAGAAGCTATACTTTCTCATCTCGATGATCATTGGAGATGAGAAGAGGGCCCTCAGCGGTAACCCTGTGAGGAAGCGGAAGTGGGTTGACAAAAGAGAACAGCTACATACCACCCTAAAGACCGACTTTCAAGTTTGAAACTGAGGATGACGTCAGCAAAGCACTCGACCACTCTTCAAATCCTAGGCCCCGTCCTTCTGAGAGAATCAAGGAGGTGCCTGAGCGTTGGCTTCTTGTAGTGGATGGTGATTGTGCTACCTCTTATCTTCAGATTAATTCGCTACTGAAATATTTACAAAAAAAAGCGTTGGAAAAACTTGTGCATTAGCCTTATAGATGAGGATGGCCTTCTCCGTTGCTCGCTTGAGTGTTGTGTGTTCAGTCTATGTGGTGATGATGGCACGTCATTTCGGACTTGCAGTATGCGAAGGTTCCGTGTTCCTCCCGTCACCTACTTCCTCTGCTTTCCTTCAGTCCGTGGAGTTTCTATCTTTACTCCTACAGATTCTCGAATAGAGGTGTAAGTTGGTAATTGCCAGTGGCTCACTAAACGCCGACGAGCCAGCTCAGATTTTCAGGAAGACGTTTCCTGGCAGCATGCCCGCTCCAACCCATTGCGTACCGTAGTGTTTTCGCGCTGGTTGGCGCATGTGCCCGGTGTTTTCTTCAGAATCAACGCAACGACGTGAATTGCGGCGTACAGGACGCGGCCACACAGAGCGCTTTGTTCAGGGAATCGCAAAGTATGTGCTGTTCGATTTTTGTCCAAGCTCTAAAGTGATTCTGGACCGGAACGCGGGCCCGCAGAAGAGAATGGGTGTGCTGCACCATGTGTGTCATGCGGTACGCAATGGGTTAAACGTGGAAAAGGCCATCATACCTTTTCCCGACAAGTGGCAGTTGATAGCAGCAGCCCGTTTTTGCCCCAATCCCCTAAGGACTCTATAGAATAATATAACAAAAATAGAATCTCGTGCAAAGAAAAAAACTGATCCGATCTTGCCTAAGGGTTCCAAACAAAAGCGAGATCAATGAATTGAAGCAGGGTATTAGTAATTGTGTGATCTACCTTGTCATGCTGTATCCGAGCAATCCGGAGTTCTTGACAGACGATAGGGATTTTGGCGCTGTAAGCTTCGGATGGCGCGGCCTACATTATATTAGTTTGTTGCATAAGTTTTTTCCCCGACTTTTTTGTAAGGAGTCAATAGCGAGCCAACCTGAAGATTATAGGTATGCACCGTCACCATCCACTGCTTGACGTTAACGCTCAGACAGCTTGTCGATTACATATATCCTCCCACAAGGACGAGGCTTAGACTCGAAGAAATCGTCGAGTGCCTTTTTAACACCAACTCCTGTGACGAAGTTGTGAAAATTGTGCGGCACTGAGACCTTCAAATGCAGGGTGGACAAGTGATAACTAGTGTTACGGAAGAATGTCATGCACACTTCAGGCACATGTAATGACGAAATACTAACAGCCATGCAATCGAAATACGGAAGGATCAAACCCACTGGAAAAAATATATGCATCAATCCAACAGTTCCACCAGCTTTTCTTGTTACATGTCCGTGTACTTCAGTCCCGAAGTTCCGATAGAACCTCTCCAACTGCTCTCATGGGCCGAGTCTGGCTTGGCAGTTCAGATCGTGATCTCAAAAAGAGAGATATTCGGTCGTTGTAAAGCCTCTTCGACACTGCGCGGAGTGCTTGGGCAATCTCAACTTTCTCAGTTGAACGCTGTATTAATAGAAAGAGTGGCAGGTTGCGGAACCACTCATTCTCCAATGGTAGGTCTGCTATATTTTTAGCAGGTGCGCAATGTATAGAGAGAAGTCTGGGTGAAGGGAACAAGCAGAGATTCCAGATCTGTTCCAGCAATTAGTTCACGTTACACGTGCTGCCAGAGACCCATTGCAGTCGAAATTTACTTCCAAGGACACAATTCTGTTGAGACTTCGGAAGGGAACTGGCTCTCTGCTTAAATAATTTGTTTTTTTTTNNNTTTTTTTTTGTCTCATTTGTTTCTATGCTGACTTTGGCAGCATGCTTCCTAGGCTTTGATATTTGTTATCTCACTTTATTTCCAATACATATGCAGCCGTGAATGAGACCCGTTGTGCCCATTCATATTGCTAATCGTAACTTGGAAATTAGGCTCCAGTCTTGCCGTACAACGCGCTGCGCTAAGCGAACGGCGCGACTATCGGATTTCACTTCTCTCGGTGAGAGAATGTAAATGAGTGGGCTTACGGCGTCCTGAATTTTTAAATGGGATCTTTAAGTCATGTAAATATTTTTCAATCTCTGACCTGATATCCTTTCTTGCACTACTGGATAGTCTGCTGACAAAAATAGGGCGATTTCATGTAATCGTTATAAGGATCACCTCTATCATCTGTCGCCTTGTTGATCATCGATGTCCTCGAGAAAGTGTCATCCATCGCTTTCGTGAGCAAGAGTGGTCCAAAGTTTTAAGCACGATGTCATCTGCAAGCGAAGATGATGTAAGTAGCGGCTGCTTTCCTTCACTTCCATGCGTTCCCAACCCACCAAATGCATGATGTTGACGAGGGTGGCACTGAAAAGAAAGCTGTATTACACAATACGACATTTTAAACATACGACGGAAGAACGAGCAGTTTCGCCAAAGTCGCAGAGGTCGCAGCCGCACCCGTCGGAATGGACGATAAGATAATGTGTGGTCAAAACGAGGTCCAATATGCCTCAGCAGCCTATTCACGCCAGACTGCTGTCGTCGGAAATGTCATGAATAAAGCTGAGATACTTGATGCGATTATCCTTTTTAACGAGAGTGCAAGCTCGGAACAAGACAAGTTCCCGCAGAAAAGAGCTGCAGCTGAGAAAGTTCTCAGAATGATGTTTACCGCGGGCGTATTCCATGGCCATTGTTCGAAAGGTGAAACCAGACATATGATCTATAATAATTGTTGGAAGCCCCAAATGATGTTGTTGACTAATGGGTCACTCCGGTGCTAGCTGACTGGTAGTGTTCCAGGTGGAGAATATGGCGGCGTTACGGTAGGTTGGAATCGTTGTGGAAAGGACGTGTGCTCTAAGGAGGAATGAGTAACAGCTCTGGTCCATTCGATTGTTGCAGATTCTGAGCATCTGACGTCGAAAATGCGGTTTGCTAATGATGAACTGGATCTCACTCTTCTTCCAGAATGGCTTACTCTGCGTAATTTGTTTTTTCTCACACCACTACAAATAGATGTGTGTTCTGCCGTGGACGAGCCACACAATAAAATCATGCTTACTAGGAGGAGAGTAAAAAAGGATCGTTTCATTCACTTTCGCGGAGAGACTCCATTTGTTAGGATCGAAAGGCTCTAAGGTCATCATTATTCCAAACATTTGACAGGTAAATCATTGGTCTGTGAAGTAAATTCCTTATCTCGAAGGGACTCCACTGCCATAGTAAAAAAATCACAACTCCAGGGCAAAGCCTCGGACTAGTGCAGATCTCGTTTGGTTCATCCCAACTGAAGGGCACGGTAGCGACCACATCTAAACTGCGTCGCAATTTTCAGTGCGTCACGCACGGCGCGCGCGAGGAATTCTTATAAGGTCGAGCGTTGGGTGCTGTTCCCCCGTATAGTTCCACTGAAGGAAACGTCAGTCACTGAGTGTGAAACCAAGAAGTACGCGTCAGGGAAGGAGACCAGTTTTGAAATATNATATTTTACTATTCTGTGATTTTGAAAGTTTGACTTTGAATGCTCTGCTACAGCAATTTTATTCAGGGCTATCACTTGTGCTGTTACTGGCTTCTTTTGCTGCTGCGATACCTATCAGCGCAGAGATGTTATTCATGAAGTCATTCAAAGTCCGATACGTCTGTGAAGTAGCAAGGTAAATGTACTATCAATCGGTCGATCAGGTCTTCGAGTAATGCCGTTGCAAACTATATCACCTTAAAAAATCAACTAGAGACGTTCCTTCGAATAATCAAAAATTTCTGGTAAGCACCAATTTGAAGTATTTCTTTCGGAACACTTTCTTTCGAAGCTGACGAAGTGTGATGTGTAAGGTCCGTCAACAACTACATGAAGTTATTTACATTCTAAAAATTGCTTTCTGCCTCTTCGCTTTTGCCTGTTCACAGATATTGGTATGATGCATAGTGCACTTTTTTCATGATTTCAATGCTGACCGTACAGAAGCTCTTCAATGGCACTCAGAAGCAGAGCCAATCGAAGACAAATTAGACAGCAGTAAAAAATGTCAGCAACTACTCAGATAGTTAATTTGCGAGTCGATCGTGATCTTGTGTGACCCATGAAATGAAGGCGTTAAGGCGTTCGAGCACATATCTGCTCTACGTAAACGCCTCCTTTCCCAGTGATTTGCATTTTGATAACGGTATACGCAAGATGAGAGAAGAGGGCTATTTCATGGTCCGAAAATCGATGCGCATCACATCTTACAAAAACAGGATTTTTTACACTTCAAAGCGACATTAATGGAAAATGTAAGACAAGTAGGACAACCTGCACCTCCACCATGAATTTCATAAAAAATTCTTCCATATAGCCACTATTCGCAGCAGCTAGTTATTTGTACTAAGAGCCTGTTTTTATAACAGTTCCCAATGTCTCTCCACTATATTCGAAGAATAGATCAGTATCTCTGGTTAATAATTCCCTTCCTCAATAGGAAAGAAAATTCTGGAAACCTACATTGTTGAGATCCATCATCAGAGCTACTCAATGGCATGAAATCTTTCCAATACGCTTTCACACCTTTACATCGACCTTCTGCAATACTCGCCCCAAATAGCTGTCTGTATTTACTCGGAGACATTCACAACACTTTAGCACTTCTGTTTGTCTTCTGCTTTCTAGTTGTAGTCATAGTGAGCGTTATTGCTAATGATGCAAGCATAGAAACAATTGTGAAACAAAAATATCAATTTTTTTCGCGATGAAAATCATTTATTTTCGAGTGCTCCTGCAAGGTGTCAAGAAAGCGTTGGAAGTTTCTCAGGCTATTTCGAGAGTGGAGCCAGTCTTTCAAGCACTGTGTTTGTCTGCGTCAAACTCAAGCATTTCATGAATAGAAAAAATCAATGAATTTCCCAGGTTGCGAAAGAATTGGGAAGCAAGACAGCCTACTCGAACTGTAGCACATAATGAAAGTCATGCAGTTACATACTATGTATGAAATATTAACTAAGTTACTGAGCTCGTTGCAACAAGAAGTGTTGGTAAAACGAAAAAACCAGCGATCTTTTTTTTGCCTCAGGTGTTCCATTGAAATTCTATCATTTCCCTGAATTTTTCTTGCTCAATCAACTCTTTGAATGTCACACTTTTCTATTTATTCATGTGTTTGCTCTTATCTGTCACAATTCCAATCGAAGAAAAAACAAATAAGTGTTTCAGTGGAACTTCGATGATATATACACTGGCTCGCGTGCTCATCTATGCAGGATGCTTGAGCATAATTCTTGTGTGTGCTTCGATTATTTTCGGAAAGCGAGTAAGACATCCATACAACATGGGATAGTAGTTATCGCGATTTCCTTCACTAGGATGCGTTCAGCTTAGGCCGTACCACGATCACAATGCGGTGTACTGTAGGCGTGATCGTAAGCTGAAGCACATAAATAGTCGAAAGGAATCGTTGATAACATGCTGACCGTAGACGCAAATAACAGCTCCAGTTTACAGGAAGGGTGCTCATTGCCTCAACAACTCCATGATTACTCAGACTTCATTAATCGGAATCGAGCTAGACAAGAATCTATAAGCAGGGCAAAATTGGTAAGATTCTTAGATTATTCGTTGGTCTCTTACCTTGGTCATCGGTTTCTTCGCTCTCACTCAAAAAAGGGAAAGTTTCTAAAGTAGATCGCCAATATGGATTGAATTAAGAGACCAGGAGCGATCACGAGCGATAGTCTCTGCGTGCGTCATAACACTTTGTGACAGATTCCAGGCTTCATGTCTGTATGGCACCAGCGATTAACTGAGGCTATTTTTAAAAAATATATGAGGTTTGGAAAGGATTCGTCAAGATAAGGAATGATATAGAGTTCAATTTTTAATGAATAAAAGGACGAGGTTCTTGCCGTAGCAATCCTTTAGCACGAGCTCATGCTCGACAGAGATACAAAGCGCTGTCATCATCATGAAAGACGGTTCTGTTACCAATTAACCAGTTCGGAGTGAGAAAAAAGGAAAAGTAGTCTCAGACGGGTATATGGCACTTGACGACAGGTGCGAAAGCGAACTTGAAGATACTACGCCATTTCACCAATTGCTCCACATCGTTTGGGATTGTTTGTAATCATCGCAACGTCAACGGCCTTGAGAAAAAAGCCGAGCTGTTCTTGCTAGCGAGCAATTCAGCTGGTCGCGTGAAAATCCTGCGCCTATATGTTGCCTGTAAACTATAGGGTTAGTCCATAAGATCCTTCGCTCTATTATCAAACTCGAAATTTTTCTGCAGTCATAACCAATAGCAGCAGACATCTAGGTGCAGTCATGGCACCATCACTAGCCATCTGCACACAAAGTGCTATCGAAAAGTGATGTCTCAATGGGCGCGGCATGCACTTATCGAATACGAAGGAGCGCGAGTCTCTATCTGTGAAGGCCTTCTCCTTTGACCTTATAGGCAGAACTTTCACGAATCGATTATTATCGGCGATGGATTCTAGGTCTACTACGAAAACAGCACGCGATAGCCCCTCCTGGGCCTCTTGCAGCCGGACCCACCAGCTCAACCACAGCGTATTCTCCATGGTTGGGAATTTGTTATATCGATTTTTTGACGTTAGCGCTCACTGCGATAAATACATCGAACGAAATCGGCTACTGCAGTGCGGGAAAGGCGTCCGAAACAGCTCAGCATAAGCCTCTCCCACGATCATTTCTCGCGAATTCCGTTTTCTGCTCTCTACAGGCTGGACAACGGTAACGCTTCCTCCGCTTCCCAGCTCTGCTCTATCAGACTATCATCTGTTTAGCACCCTGAAGCTTCATCCTAAAGAGGAAAGGTTCAAAGGCTACGACCTCGCAGAGTTCTTTGATTGTCAGCCTCAGTCCTTTTGGTCGCAGAACATCCGATTGCCTAATAGGTGGATGCACTTTGTCAATAATGATTGTGATTATATTGTTGATTGATTACTCCATGCAAGAGCTACAAGTTGAATAAACAAAAATGCTGAAATAAGGAAGGTACCTGTGGATCAACCAGAGTAAAGAATTTTGCTAGCGTTGCTAAATGGTTACCTCAGTTTAATGCGACAGTCGCGATGGCGTCATTCGAAGCGGCCATATGAGACCCTTGTATCGTAGAGCTTCCCATGATTCCAGAAAGAGCTACCGATATCAACTTCGAATGACCTCAAAGAATGAAGGATGAAGTCTTCGGACGTCAAATCCGTTTGAAGGATGCGCCCCCGCATACGACTTCTACTCAGAGGACACAGTGACTTGCGGTGGCCAGCCGATGCACAAGTCAGCACTTTTTTCTCCCAGACGAGTCTGGTACCTATTGACCAGCCTCGAGGAAATGATTGGTCTAGGTGGATATGGATCCGGCATTCGAACCCATGACAGTGCGTATGAGACAGGGCGGCACTTACCACAACACAGCCTTCGCCCTTTTTGAATCAACTTATTGGAGTTACCTACCCTCAATGTCCGCAAAATAAGCTTGGCTCTTATCTTCGGAGGCAGTGACATTTCCTATTCCTGGCAAATTTCAAATGTGGATTTCAGGGTGTTTTGTTAGCGTGCATTTTCATCCTGGTGGAAGGACCATACATTTTGTTGTGCTTTGCACTTGAAGTGAGTTTTTGGGCTACTGGCTGATAAGTGAGCTACAAAATTTGAGCACTTTCAGATATCCTACAGTACTCTTTTTGGCGCTGGTCTTAGCATACCACAAGATGTAGACACATTCATCACGTGGCTGAAGTTTCTGTTCCCAATATTATCGCCGATCACGGTACAGAATAGCTCTTCGGGAATCTCTTTGATATTTTTGTATTTGGTTTTTCAGATTTTATGCTGGTGCTCAGATATTTCCGCTAGTGTAAAAGAACTGTTCCTTTGCCGCTCATACGATCCTCCGATGATTGGGCCCAACATCAGTGGATACAGAGGTGATTTGAGATCGATAAATTTTGAAAGCTGGAGGACCATGCTGAGTAGGGTATGGAAACTTGTACTATTGTAGTTCTTAACACATTACTACTGAGAAGTAAACGAAACTCATAAATCATAAGTTTAGTGAACTACCCAATTATGTGGAAACTGATTGTCAAATAGGTACAGGTTTTCGCCGTAGCGTTGAAGCGAGAACATCATTTTACCCTTCAATGGATCACAGCTAGCTTGAGGAAACTGACTGGTATTCTTCAGGCATGGGAGCAGCAAAAGGTTTCGTGACATTGTTGGCAACAACTGATGGTCTGCCGTTGAAACTGCGAACTTCTCGTCCTGCTTCAACAATGGCTAACATTTTATCGCATCCTATGACCAGCCCTACATAATTGTCTCGGGAAGGTTCATACCTATCATGTCATTGGATCACAAATGATTAGTTCCACTTTGCGGAGATATCTGACTTGTCGCCTCCACCAAACTGTTATGGATATTGAAATATGATATTCGATCATTATCCTGTGTTAGAAGCTACTGATTTTTGCGTAAGCGTTTTGCAAGCCACTTCTATCGCTAACAGTATCTCTATCCTTCACTTTTTCGCGCGCATTGCTCACAAGCAGCTGCGCTTCCTTGTGCGAGTTCGGGCTTCTTCCTTGCTGGTTTAGTTTACAATTTTGCTCGAATTTTTCATTCCGCTCAAATCGGCGGGACCCCTAGTCGCAAGAGAGTCGTATACGTGTGGCACTCAGTTGCAATCGGTTCAGGTGTCAACGGTTCCAGTTGCTTTTTTTCTCAGCTTTTGCGTGAGAGATTGATCAATTTCACCATTATTGGATTTTGCTGTGACCACACTTCTTTGCTCACATGTTCACTCCTGTGTCACGCTTTTTCAAATCAGGGAAATGCCCGCGTTCTGCTAAGCTGAGTGTAGTGAATGAAGAAATTGTTTTGTTGAGGCGGCGGCTTGATTGGTTGAAAGATGTAGAGACTGAAAATAGCTAGCTAAGGGAACGTCTACGTAGCTTGGGGGTGGAGAGATAAACGTTTCCAATCCAGCTTGTGCCATGGAGAGGTTGAGAGAATGCTTTCAGTTACTATACGTAAAATTCCGGAGTTTCTTTGAGTAAAACCTTCGATCGTGATTAATACAACTATCAGAGCGCTGTTATAACTAGGCTCGCTTGGAAATGATTCACACTGGAAATGGCTATCCTGTCACACTTTACAGACTTAGTAGATGGAATTACTATCAATGTTCATAGTTGAAGTACTCGCCAGTTTCTTACCGATGCGTAGGATGACCGAGCACTCGAAGACAATAATACTCTTTTTAACATAGTACGACGACGACGACGGTGACACGGGAAGAGTTCTTCGAAGAAGCCCTTGCACTCGTCGCTCAGTTGCTTTTATAGCATTGCTCCTAGAACGTTTAAATGCATAGCTGCTGCGAAGAGTCTTATATTTAGTCGGCGCTTACGACAATTACTTAAAATAGTCTTACTTTGTTCGGTAATTCGAAAAATTGCGCGTCCCGGGAAAGAAACGAATAGGGACAGATCGCTTAGCTTTCAAACATGGCAGGGCAAGGAATAGCGATGTTGATTATGTTCTTCTGAATGGCAATTTAGTCACTCCCTTTCACTCGGTCAACTAAATTGTTATACAACATATTCAGCGAGTAGTGTCCTCCACTCTCAGGAAAACTAACTCTTTTCCGCGGTCCAAGGTTTGCTCCTCAGAGATATTTATAAATTCTTCCTATTTCGAAAAATTTCTACGAATTTGAACCCTAGCAATCATAAACCTGTAGGTTTAGACGACTATGCAGTCGCTTTAAAGACGGATGTTGATGTGATTCGCTTTGTTTTTAGCAGAGCATTAGGCAAGGTGAACCACATCAGGCTCTTTCAGAAGCTTAAACGTGTTGAAACACAACCCCGGACTTCAGCATAACTTGAGAATCATTTGACAGTGATTTGAAACGGGAAAACTTTCCTGCTGTTAGAGATCTACCAAGTGTAGTTGAGGACAACAGTGTAAAGTGCAAGGTATTCGCTAAAGATGTGAAGACTTAAAAGACTATTAAGTTAGGAATTGGTGCTACCTTAGTTCAAGAAGCTATGGCAAAATTGTTAATAGCAATTGTAAAAGTTGTCCTCGTCTGCAGATAAAACCTTAGTTCCTATCTCGGGAGAGTCTCGAATACTGTCAAATATTACGTCGGTGTGTGTAAACTCAAAAAACTTACAGTGGTCAGACAAGAAGAATCTCTAGTTGATGATAATGTTAATCCAACGCCCATATGATGTCGATAATTCATAGGTTAGCACAGCTCTTCGGAACTCTGTGCACAAGAGTTCCATGTATTTGCATCAAGGTAATTAATCCGGTTAGAAAAACTCAATCACTACATCACGCGTAGGTGAGAGTTGGTTTGTGATAGCTTCGAGTTTTAATGCGAGAACTCGGCTTCAGTTACAAATTCATTCATAGTCAATTGTCAGAACAAGATTGACCCTCTTGCGTGGAGACGGAAGGAAATTTATTTCATAAGACAGGTAAAGTCTCAGTTGGCATGCAATTCTTATTCGCTTCCTATACGTCGGTCACAAGAAGGGATAAATGAAAACTACTTTGGCATTTCGAGATCATGTATAGGAGCAAACGTTTTCTCAGTTTTGACGGATTGATCAAGAAATACTCCATGCACAAAAGGTCACACCACCTCAAGAAAATTCTGTCCAGATTCCACAGTCGATGTCCCAGCCGCCTTTTTTCCATAATGATATTTGGAGGATAGTCAGATGCGTTTCCTTCATTCACTTTTTAACTCTTATTTTTGCTTTGTATTTATTTCAGTAATTACATATTGAAATCAAGCTGAAGTTGTTTTGTTTGTTTATTTGGTCGTTCTATGTGCTTTTGTCCATATTGCTTTCATCTACTACTCGTGCATTTGATGTTACATGAAGGATAAAAAAGGCAAAGTTTTCGGCTTCAATCAATAACGTCTGTGGGGTGCGTTCCTGCATTCAACTTCAATTTAGGATCGCAGTAGCGTATGAATGCGTATGTGGCCCATACAATGACCTGCGGTGGCTAGCTAATGTACAAGTCAGTGCTTTTATCCTCCCAGACAAGTATAGTAACAATTAACCCTAGAGGGATGGAATGCTTGGCTGGCTTAGGTGGATATCGTTCCGGGATTCGAACCCCTGACCATGCGTGTGAGATATGCGCCACTACCACTACACCACCTCCGTTCCCAAAGTAACATAGTAATAATAATAACAATGGGCTATTTGAGAGCCTTAAAGGCCCTATTCATTTGTGGTCTCACACCTTATTCTACTACTAACCATGGACGAGACGACCACGCGTCAACATTTGCAGCATACAACTGATATTTTTGAACTCACGAACTCAAGGTCGTTCTCTGTTACTAGGAGCTTATGTGTCGGACAGAATTGATCATCGGTTTCTTTTGTCTTTGAAAATCGCGGAGAATAATGCGAAAAAATGCCAATACATACGGGCGACAGCTTTTTAGGTTTGCACCACAATTCTGATTGGCCTTGTCAATGATCCACATACAATTTCAGCCGACCCGCATTATTGATGCTCCCTGCTCTGAGCATTTCTGAAGGCAAGTACTGTTCCAATTCTGCATTGAACTGAAATGTGATGTGTGTCAGCTCCATAACAATGGATCTCTCCTCCGGTTTCCCAACGCTGCCACAAAAGCTGGATATTCCATCAAATTACCATCAGTGGTTGGAGGTCAACTAAAAATTAATAAGGGTATTAGTGTGCGAAAAAATTGTTGTTATGAATATTATTGCAGCTGAAGATTAGTTACTTCCCATAAGTGTGAAATTTGTCCATGTATGGAGCCGAGAGTTGACATGATAAGTAAATAGGGAGATGGTTTGAACGTGACTACGGACGAAAGCAGTCCATTTAATCTGAGAATTTTATGGGAAATTTGAGAAATAGTCACAAATAGTTTCAAGTGTCACATAATATTTCAGAATGCTTTGCCGTACAGGTTTGTTATGATGGAACCGTTTATTAGGCCGAAGTTTCGATTAACTCGTCGTCCTCAAGTACCTGAAAGTAGTTCGGAGCTCTTGGTCTGTGGCTTACGTGACCAAGCGCCCAAACGCATTAGGCCAGTTGCAACTACTCCGAGAAACTCAAACACCGAAACATCTTTGCCAAGGAACCATCTTTCTGCAGTTCCACCAGCGTTGTCGTCCCACTCTATTTCGTGAACAACAAGGGAACAATGAGACACCATTGACGGTTGTGAGATGAGAATTACGCGATGATCTCAAAGTCCACAAAAGGGAATGAATGGCAGAAGTTCACTCGTTACGACAATGCACTCATTTCGATTGTTCAGCTTAGGATTCCGCTCGCGGATGTACAACGCTTCCAATATCATTCTAGCACCGATCCCATTCTCGTAGGCTAGGATTTTGCATGTGATATCAAAATCTTCGCCCTGATGCTCTTCTAGTCGATGCCTGTCGAGTGGCCTTAGTAAGCTTCCTCGCCTTTTACCTGCTAGATGCTCTTTAACGCGTATGCCCAGCATCCTTACCGTCTAACCAATACATATTTCGTCACAGGCTGAACACTGAAGTTGGTATACCGTCCCTCGCTGTGTGCAATCTCCACTTCTTCCGAACGGACAAACAACGCAGTTATCTGTCGCGCATGCACGATCATAGAGTCTGTTGCGGATCAAAAGGCGTTTGATATTGTCTGCTGGTACATTTACAAGACAACATCATTAGCCAAATCCGCTAGTGCAGACTTTATCTGCTTTGTCCCGTAGCCATTCAGGTTTGCAATCCCAGATGCTAGCTTACGAGATTCCTCCCGTTCCACTTCGCCAGTACACACTCTTGAAGCTGTTCTGTACATGCTTCAAACTACTGCACGTTTCACAGCCTCAGTGCGAGCAGACTTTGAGTGGAGTAAGATGTTCTTAGAGCTGCCTTTCCGATACCATTTCACATTGTACCTTCCACTTGAGATGTTTATCTGCGTGTTAAAGGCACTGTTCACGAAAAAATGGTTTCGGAGATCTGCACATGGTTTGAATTCGACGCCCCCTCTGATACCATTTGTGCAGGAATGAGGTCGGAAAACGGTCTGGATAGGGCACAATAAGGGCAGGAACAGTGGGGGACGGGAGGCCTCCGCCCCTCACTAGGCTGACTACGAGTTCTAATTGCCCTTCACCACATTCGCATTGGATCGATGTGTCTGCTTGGGTGTGTTGTCTGCTATTGCAGACATTGCGTCACCTTCGTACACTCGCCCGAACACTCCCTTAACCGCCGTTCTTCCAATGTGAAACTCGTCCAACCCC